TATCGGAGTTAAATTAAGTGCAGGAATATCGGAGTTAAATTAAGTGCCGGAATATCGGAGTTAAATTAAGTGCAGGAATATCGGAGTTAAATTAAGTGCAGGAATAACGGAGTTAAATTAAGTGCCGGAATATCAGAGTTAAATTAAGTGCCGGAATATCGGAGTTAAATTAAGTGCCGGAATATCGGAGTTAAATTAAGTGCTGGAATATCAGAGTTAAATTAAGTGCCGGAATATCAGAGTTAAATTAAGTGCAGGAATATCGGCGTTAAATTAAATGCAGGAATATCGGAGTTAAATTAAGTGCCGGAATATCGGAGTTAAATTAAGTGCAGGAATATAGGAGTCGAGCTAAAAAGAGTATGTTTAACACTTTAAAGCAAATAAGAGGTAATGGTTAAATAAAATGTTTATTATTTTTAAATTTATCTTCTTTTTCTCTTCTTTCTCCACTATAACAAAGATAAAATTAAGTTCAGAACAGGGTTGGAAATTAGAGAAGGGGAATAATTGAATATATGAAATGGAATTTGAATGATAGTTAAAAAGGTGATTAGTATAAAAATAATACATTGAAATATTGATTAATTACTAGTAGAGCTACAAGATCTTGTTGAATGTTTTGAATATGATTACTGATGTTTTATTTGTGGTAAAAGGAGGGATATATTTGATAAATGAAATATCCCATTAAAAACAACTATTAGGGAATATTCTTGGGAACTGTAGTGACATAACTGAAAGTTAGAACTGGGATGGAATTGGAGAGAGGGAAAATAATGGAATACACTTCCTTAATAATAAGATGATGCAAGAAAAAGAAAGGAAACTAGAATTTGAATGAGGGGGATATTAAGCATATTTGAATAACATGAGGGTTAGCGTAAAAGAACTAATACAATGAAATATTGAATACATAAATGAATAGAAGACCATAATGGAATATAAGGAGGTGTATTAATGCTAGAATGAAATAAGATTGTAAAACAAAAAAAAATAGCTCACATGATTATTAACATGCTATTAGATATAAAAGGAAGATATTTGAATGTAAGGATTGGTATGCAAATCAGATATGGAAATACTGAAAATTAAACAGTGGAAAAATTTGGAAAGAATAAATTGAGGTCGGAATATTAGAAGCATATGAGTTTATTAAAGTTAAATATATTAAGTATTATATGAATTGTATTAAAATGTAAAACACCCAACTGTCGTATTATCCACACATTGATATGTATGTAAAATAAAAATAAAAAAGTTTATTACCCCCCCAAAAAGAAATTACAGGGTGGAGGGGGCGCACTTCATAAAGTGGGGTGCAGGTCACCTGTCCTTACTTTTGGCGGCCATTGTCTGTCTCCCCCAGGTTGTGGGAATTTCTCATTTGCGTCCGTTGAGATTCAGCTAGCCAGGATGCAGCCAAACTGAAGACAAACCATGAATTGTGGTTTGTTTTGTTTTCCCCCCCTTCCTCCTCACAGTGGGCGATTACATCCGAGCGTTGGAGTGCACCAGGACGTATCTCCTCTTCCATCCAAAGGATGAAGATGTCCTGGAGAACGAGGATTATTACAAGAGCCTCTTGGAAGGTTCTGTTGACCTGGAGGCCGTCCAACCCAGAGAGGTAAGCGGCTGGGACGTGGGATGCTTGGATGTAACTTCGAGGGTCCTTGGCCTTCAACAAGCCATCTTCTGCAGGGCTTACATCGAGGTCGCGCTGATAGAAGAGGATGTTTGTAGATCAGGGTTGAGTTGTCAGGTCCTCGGATCTCTCTGACCCAGCTAGGGAACTGCCAGGGTTCCGGCGATTGCCCCAATTCAATCATGAGCCTCGAGCCCAGCTTCAAAAGAATTCAAAAGATTTATTGGGAGCAACATGTCCGGCATTAGCCACCATGAAGCCAACTCTGGCCTACGTAATTTACAGTCCCCTGTGACCCTGTTTCCCCCCCCCACTCCCCCCTGAGTGTGTCATAAATCAGATTCTCCAACCGAAACACAGTTCACGGGTGTCATCAATCACGTTCTCCAAGGAAGGATTTTCCCAGGCAGAAGATCCGGCAGCCTAGCTACAATCTTTGTAAGATAAGCGTTGGAATATACTTCTGGTTTTAAACTGCCGCACTGCTCCTTCAGATTTCCCCCCCACCCTTGTTTATGGAGGAAGGAGAAAGAGGAGGAGGAGGAGGAGGAGGGGGAGGAGGAGGAGGAGGAGGAAGATGAGGAGGAGGATGGGGGAGGAGGAGGGGGAGGAGGAGGAGGAGGAAGACGAGGAGGGGAGGAGGAGGAAGATGAGGAGGAGGGGAGGAAGAGGAGGGGAGGAGGAGGAGGGGGAGGAGGAGGAGGAGGAAGACGAGGGGAGGAGGAGGA